TCAGTAGCTAACAAAGTTTTGACATCCCGATAACACTGGTTGCATCCTGTTTTACAGTCCGCATCTGTTTTCTCCTAAATGTTAAATATCTTTTAGGACATCTCACAATAAATTAGCCTTTCAGTGTATGTATTTTCTGTTTGTTTTACTACACTGTCCATATGATCCCAAAGATCCTTTACCATATCCACTGTATTATAAAGTAGTCCATGACACAAAGGTACGGAAGCAGCTAATCTATCAGCCTGCTCGTTAGCTTTACCTCGCACACTTGAATACCTGGACAGAAAATCCATGAAATGCTCCTGGTGTGGGTCAGGAAGTGACAAAGATATATATATATATGTGTGTGTGTGTGTGTGAGTGAGTGAGTGTCTGAGTGTGTGTGTGTTTATGTGTATGTGTGTGTGTGTGTATGTGAGTGTGTGTATGTATGTGTGTGTATGTGTATGTGTGTGTGTGTATGTGTGTGTGTGAGTGTGTGCGTGTGTACGTGCGTGCGTGCATAAGTGCCGGCATGTGTACGTGCGTGTGTGTGTGCGTGTGTGTGTGTGTGTGCGTGTGTGTGGTCTCGTATATGTGAAAATTGCCAAGTCTTGATAATGTCAAATTACTGAGGTTCTATTCTTAAAACATTTAAAGCTAAAAAGTAAAATGACGGTAAAACAGGTCATTCCTCCATTTAATTTCATTTACGTGATGAATAATTTTGCATTAAATCTCTAAAGCCACTCCTTTCTTTCGTCGCGAAAATGCATTCAGAAAGGCTCATGATTGATTTCTATTCCTATTTATAGCATGAACTTTCTCTTGGACATCCCTGTCTTCTCTACCGTAAACTGGATTGCAGCCACAAGTGCATCGATGGAGTTTATTGCGTGCGTCGTTTTTGACGTGTTTCTACAGAGAGGCGATGTCGTTTAGAGGAAGCATGTTCAAATCCTGTCTGCTTCTTCTAGTCTCGTTGTTTTCCTTCGTCTTCTTCTTATTATGCACTTTATCCCCCAATAGAGCATAGGCTAGTGACAAACACATGCCAGAACGTTCTGTCCGTTTGTATCGCGTGCAACTAAACTCAAGTCCTACACAGCTGTGTTAGCCTGACTCTTTAGTTCAGTGTTTCCCCAAAATCGTTATGCCATGCCCCACATGAGACTTTTAACAATCTTCTTCTTCCTCTTTCGCTCTCTTGAAATAAATTATATATAACTGCAATGTTGTCTCTAGTATGAACTTCACTGTCTAAACAATCAAATCGCCCCCTTTAACAATCAACACCCCGCTTTCCCATGGAGCAATCAGTTGAGTCAGTTTCTCTCAAAACACCTTCGTTACTCTTTTTTTTTTTTAAACTGTCAGTGGTATATTCTTCTCATTGCTGTATAAAACCACATCTTCGCGGCTTCTAAATAATGTGTCAATAATATCGTCCTACTGTCACGATCGATTCACTTCCATATATCAATATAGGATTTACACAGGTCTTGGTAATTACGCCGTGTATATACACATATTTGAATGCTATCAGCGACACAGTATAATAAATCAAACTAACACAGAGAAAAGGGTGCTAAAATGTTACATAGAACCAGTTCTGTCGTATGGCAGCGAATCTTGGAATGTCAATGAACAAATTAGGAAACATTTGGAAGCAACAGAGACATGGTTTCTGAATGTTACGAAAGTAGCTAATGAAAACATATCTCTATATACAACAATAAGAAAGAGGCATCTCTTACATCAAAGACACCAACCATGTCATCTCTATCTTTCAGTTTATCCGGTTCACCTCTTCTTCCAGGTACCACATCTTCACCTTAGATGTTACCTCCCTCTACACCTCTATTCCACATTCGGATGGCCTCCTGGCTTTGCGGTTCTTTCTAGATCAGAGAGTCAGTCCTGCCATAGCCACTGACCCTTTGATTCGTCTGGCGGAGCTGGTGCTTACTCTAAAATCATTCGAGCTTAATGGCCAGTATTTCAACCAGATTAGCGGTATCACTATGGGGACCAACATGGGACCCAGTTATGCCTGCCTCTTCATGGGGCACCTCGAGCACTAGATACGTCATGCATATACCGGTAGGCTCCCCGAGCTCTACAGGAGGTATATCGATGATTGCATCAGTGTAACCGATATGTCCCTACAGGAACTGTAGAACTTTAATCATTTTTTCTCTAACTTTCATCCTAGCATCCGATGCACTTCTAGCATCTCACCTTCGTCGGTGCATTTTCTGGATCTCACCGTCACCATGAATTAATATGGGCCTTAGCACCTCGGTGTACTACAAACCTACTGATGCCCACGCTTTTCTCCTCTACACGTCCTCCCATCCCTCTTCTTGCAAGGACTCTATTCCGTTCTCCCAACTTCTACGCCTCCGCAGACTATGCCAGGAGAACGACGACTTTCACGACAAGGCCCTGGAAATGTTGGACTTCTTCGGCTTCGAGGGTATCCTGAACATGTCCTATCTGCCGCCTTTCACCGCGCACGGTCTTTCCATCGTGCCGAAGCTCTCGCTTCCAAGCCGAAACGTCACAACAACAGACCTATCCTCACACTTACCTGCCACCTCTAACATAAAAAAGAACATTTTCCTTAGGCATCGATCCATCCTTAAAGCCGACCCTGCCACCAGCAGGATTGTCTCTGAACCTCCTCTAGTGGCCTACAGGCATGATCGTAACCTCAAGGATATTCTAGTCAAGAGTAAGTTACGCCCCGCGTCTGAGCACGGTCTCTTGCCATAGACCTGTATGCAGAACATGTCCATATGTGGTACAGGGGCCAGTCTAGAATTCCCCAACGCCACCTTCCACATATGTGAAGCATTCTATTTTACTAGCCATTTATGCCATCAACTGCAAGAGATGTGGCATGAAATACATTGGTGAAACAGGTCTACGGCTGGCTGACAGGTTCAGACAACATCTTCTGGACGTGCAAAATGTAACCCCGAAACCAGTACCATTGCACTTCAATTCCCAGTATCACCAAGGTGTCCACGACATGGAGGTAACAGCCATTAAATCTAGCCATTCCAGCGACAGAGTCCGCAAGTCTCTTGAGAATCGCTTTATTTATACTCTGGGGACTTTGACGCCCTTCGGAATGAATTGCCAACACAGTTTCATTAAAATTTCCAGGGGATTGAGCTGCCCTCACAGTTTCAACCCCTACATCCCAGTTATGGCCCCTGATACTCTACAGGGGGGTATTTATTCCCCCAACTGACACGTGCGGTCATAGTCTTTACCATCCAGTTTCGTCCTTTTTAGGATTAAATTTTTTGTTATTTGAAGCCCCACTCTGGCTTTTGCCAGGGGCCGCAATATAGGCAGGCCATAAATATGGTCAAATGTCTGAACGGGTTTCTTATTACCTCCCACGGCGATCCTCATCCATATGGTGGCACTTTGTGTCATCGGGTGTTTATCGCTTGTGTGATGTCCTGGTGGGGTAGAAAGTCAGTCAGTCAGTCAGACGTGCGGTCATTCTGCTGAAACAACAGATCTGGCCGCATCGTGATACCAGCTAAGTGATTTTTTGTATCTATGTAGTATTGTTTATTTTATGTGTGCTGATGAAGGCTCAATAGCCTCAACGTTTTGTTTGATTTTGTTATATTGTGAAGCTTGCTAATTTACTTTTCTTTCGGGTTTACATCTTTTATTAACAATAAGAAAGAGACCACACTGTTGTTTGGTCTCATAATGAGAAGAGAGACATTGGAGAACATCGTGACAACTGCAAAGATAGTGGAAGAAGGGGTAGAGGCAGACCAAAGAGAGATGATGGATGGGCTTGAAACGATGGCATGGAGGGATATCATCAAGAGAGCTATTTTAGGCAGCCAGGTATCATGATCTGTGGAGACATAAGAGCGCCTACGCCAGTTGGCAGAGCACATGATTATGATGATGATATACAGATATTTGGATACTGTCAGTCACAGTTTGATAATTCCAGCTAACACAGAGAGAAGAAAATATGACTTGATTTTGATTGTATAAAAGACAGCCTCTAAAGAATGAGCAAATGGATATGCATTAATGAAATTTACTGTAGATTAAGAAAAAGGAGAATGAGTTGTCAAAATAGAACTGGCGATACCTCATGCGATTAACTGCGTGTGCAACTACTGATCTATTGTGAATGCTGCTTCCAATGATGAGGAACTGCATTTCTGGAATCGGACTGGCCAACTTGGCACTTCTGACAGATGCCTTGTGTATTTAATGCATGTGTATGCTACTGGATGTGCTGAGATTGCTGTCTGTGTCTTTCTTTCTACAAGGAACAGTTATGGACATCACGAGTGATTTTCTCTGACACAGCAAAGCAATAATGACAAGACACAGAATGCACTGGAGTTCTATTACAGCCCACCAAAATTGTGGAAACGACACGCAACTGATAGTGATAATTTGTTGTTTACATGGACAGAAATGGGCTACTTAGAATGTTCTTTGTTATTTTTTCTTTTCATTTTTTTTTTGTCCTTGTCTCCTGTGTGCTGCTAGGGGCGCAGTTTAACAGCTCAGTCAGTAGATGAACATATACAGTCCGTCCCGTGTGGGACACAATTTTTCGTTATTTGAAGCCTCGCCCTGGCTGTTGTCGAGTGCTCTAATATAGCCCAATTTATGGGTTGAGCGGAGTCCGGGTGATTCTCAACCGAGTGGTGGTACTTTGTGTCACTTGCTGTTAATTTGCTTGGTGTGATGTCCTGGTGAGGTTGAACGTCATCATCATCATCATCATCATCATCATCATCATCATCATCATCCAGATCAGCAAGGGCGGGCTAAGTTGTTTGGTAAGCAAAAAACTTTTCAGCTTCTGTGACAAGATGCTGTTTATTAGCCAATCTTCCTTGATGTTCATATCTTGAAAATGTCAGTATTTGTTTGTCTTGATATAAGCAATGTAACTTAAATGGTAAAATACAGACATACGAGTACAAATTTAAGAAGGCAAAGTTACCAACCTGCCTCTGAATGTGAAATCATCCAAGCTAAATGTAACGAGCCACTCTCTCGTGGAATACTGAACCCGTACCATGTACCCTTGCTGAATCTGCTCTTGGAAAGTTACAAGAGATCCAATTACCAGATAACCTCTGTAGTCATGGGCGTAGGCTGGTGTCCAAGGATGATCGCAGACGCCTGAATAAAATAACAGTATATAATATTGTAAGATTACCGACCCGTTTTCATACAATGAAGTTATTATATGCCTCGGACGTGTCTTCATCTTCAGCAACCAGCACAGAGTTTCAATTTTAATGATACCAATAGAAGTGATTGTAGGTCCCTGAGTGTTGAGCTTGGGCTAGATTTGGGACCACTTTCTGCAGTCCCATTCTCTACACACAGTAATTATTAATTTGTGTTTCTGCATGTTCACGTACTTCCAAAGGAACATGGCCACATCTAGCCTTTCATGAATCAATTATTACATTTTCAAGACTTGTTAGTTTACGTGAAAATTGCATTTAAGTATGTGAAGACTCGACACAGAACCAACACTAAACTTTATAAATGGACAACAAATCAAATGGCTTGGCCATGTAACAGTATCGGCATCAGAAAGGGCACCACAGTCAGCTATGCTATGCAAATACAGCGGTAACAGAACCAGAGGTCGACCCCGCAGAAATATGGACCGCAAAAAGATCAGAGACACTGAAAAATAGTTTTAACGAAGCGAAAGTAAGTCGGAATGTAGATATGTTCCTACCCTGACACTCCGAGATATTCCAGGAGTAGAGAAAAAGAAGAAGAAGAAGAAGAAGAAGAAGAAGAAGAAAATGAAGAAGAAGAAGAAGAAGAAGAAGAAGAAGAAGAAGAAGAAGAAGAAGAAGAAGAAGAAGAAGAAGAAGAAGAAGAAGAAGAAGAAGAAGAAGAAGAAGAAGAAGAAGACGAAGCAGAAGAAGAACACGAAGAAGAAGAAGAAGAAGAAGAAGAAGAAGAAGAAGAAGAAGAAGAAGAAGAAGAAGAAGAAGAAGAAGAAGAAGAAGAAGAAGAAGAAGAAGAAGAAGAAGAAGAAGAAGAAGAAGAAGAAGAAGAAGAAGAAGAAGAAGAAGAAGAAGAAGAAGAAGAAGAAGAAGAAGAAGAAGAAGAAGAAGAAGAAGTAGAAGAAGAAGAAGAAGAAGAAGAAGAAGAAGAAGAAGAAGAAGAAGAAGAAGAAGAAGAAGAAGAAGAAGAAGAAGAAGAAGAAGAAGAAGAAGGAGAAGGAGAAGAAGACAGACATCGAGAGAGACGATACCGAACAGTTTAACATCATGGTATAGTAGATTATCTGTGTTAGGCGAATGAAAGGACGCGCAACAGAAGGCTGTGGATAGTGATGGCTACTAACGACACACGGTATAAACCAGAAGGAGAGGATATAACAGTGAGCAGAGGTTGGGATTTGGCTTGTAGGATAACTTGACTGCCATGTGGCCTTATGTGGGTAAAGTCTTTGAGACCGATTTTCAACGTCTTCAGCACGAAGCAGCTTATCATTCACCAACCTTAACAGAAATGATTGTTTACACTCCTTTTGTGTTACTTATTTGTTACATTAACCTTCTCACATGTTATTATTACATTAAAGTCGTATATTCTTTAATGTTATTATAATAATTTACAAGCAATAATTATAATGTTGAAGTAACAACTGCTTCGCCTGTGTTGTGGACTCCATGGCCCAATGGGTAAAAGTGGGGGTGGGGGGAGTGGGGGTGGGAAAGAGAGAGGGTAGGAGACAGATAAGACGCATGTAAATGGAATACAAATACAGTAATCTGTGCTTACAAGGAAATTAAAATAATGCAGTATATATATATTTTTTTTTCAGTTCAACAAGGCACCAACATCTTTAGAGGGGCATACTTCAAAGTTGCACACAACTTTGCCGAGACAGACATTAGCTTGACACAAACTTTAGAACATTGATTCTCAACTTCCCTGCCATAAAATATAGTTTTCGTTGCTCTTTCATAACTTCAGTGAATATGTGTTTTCCGATGGTCTTAGACTTCCCGCAGGTTGAGAACCGCTGTTATAGAGGTACAAACAACATTAACATAGTCATCATCATGTAGCAGGTCCTTTGCAGAGCGTCGCTCTCATCCCGGTCTACCTAAAAGAAACTTTGTCTCTCGCCAGCTCTCCCGCCTCATATACTTTCAAACTGTAGGAGTCACTTATATCCTGTGCCCATTTTCGTGTCAGTCGGCCCCTGCCCCTCCTTCCTGGTACCATGCCTTCTGCTATAATTGTTTTCCAATCTTTCGTGGCGCTTGATATGACCAAAATATTTCAGCTTCCACATTAACATAGTACAAAAACTTTAAAAGGGTAGACATAAATTTGGCACACAACTTTACAGAAGCAGACATTGACACGGCACACAACTTTACAGGCAATACATTATTCAGGACAAAACTACGACAACTACAAACCGATTGATGGGATTACTGTATGCTGGCCCAAAGCAGTAGCAATGACTACAGTATTTATCCATAGTATCAGACACTTCATCATAGTAAAGATTCCTTTTCCAGATATCCACAGAATATATAGACTACTCCAATCAACAGAAATGTATCCTTTCTTTTAACGAACGTACGCAGATTAGGTAGGATTATTAAATGGCTTAAAATACTGCTACTAAAGCAATGATACAGTTATATATAGTTACTGATATTTACTACTCAATAGGTATTTGCACAGCAACTTTTTCTTTTGAACTACTATAAATCTTTAGTACATGAGCAGAATTTATCCGTCTGATTTGCTGAAGTATGTTACTGATATAATGAATTTACAAAACTTCTTAAATTAAATTTTGTATCTGTTGAAAATTTCAGGAAAAAACAAAAATAATGAAATCAGATACTGAAGAACTTTCTAGCTCCATACACGTAATCCCATAAAGCTAGAAGTAGAGCACAAACCCAAAATACCTAATATTTATTAAAAAACCGTGTCTATATTTCTTGCCAGCAAATCATTAAAAGTAATGCACACTTTAAAAGGTTGTAATATAATCTCTTTCTTTTAAGAATCGTCTTATAACTACACAAAAAGGCAACACGCTACTTTCATAATATCGCTGATGCTCAAATGAGGTTTAACTACGCAGATCTGTAAGTCCATCAAATGTAAAAGCACCTGCTACGAAGCCGTTCTGTTTGCAGTGATTAATATTTGACTTGCGGCTACACTATTATCCTGACAATGGAAAATACACACATTTTGGTAACTTTCCATCCTTTACTTCACACGGCAGTTAAAAGAAATACAACTTTCCATACAATAAGAGCCTCCTCATGGACGTCAGATATAATAAATCCCGCCCTAATACAAAGCTGTATAAATATAGTTTTTTTTTTATTCGCTCAGGTAATAGGTCATTTATCATCGTTCAGACAGAGCGGGGTTACAGAAGAATAGGCAACTTCTATGTACGCAAATTAGCATACCTTGTTCTTACTAGGTCAGGGAAGTGAATGAGTGAAATTAAATCGTTAGTTAATCGCTATAAATCTGCCAGTAACCAAATCGAAAATAGACAACAGTGCAGTGTGTATGCAAGATGAAAAGATGTCTTTTGTCTAGGAATGGACGGTCGTAAAAAATTCACTGACATCAGGCAGAATCTTGGACTGGTTGGTAATAGTAATTTGTCATGTTTAGCACGGATAGGCATTGTACTGACAGCTTGTCTTTTACAACTGGTCTTAGATTGCGGGAACTTCTTTTGAATAAGTTGAATCCTTTGATAACGCATTCCAATATAAATCCAGTTTAACACCATAGAAGAAAGGTTTCTCACCTTTCTTATAAAAAAAAAAAAACGACCACATTCAACCCTGTTGAGGACAGCTTTGGTTTTAATTAGGATTTGGTTTTATTTGCACTAAGTTCAGTGGGTTAAAAATTTCTTTCGGATGTCACGAGTTGCCTTATGACCATGAATCCGGTTTTATTTAATAGATAGCAATCATGTAACGCTATTAGATTTTTGTTAAATATTGTACCACTATTTCGATACACGACCACCGTGTAACACATTGAAGCTCGAGTCACCAATTTCATTGGGCTGGTAGGTTCTGGTAGATTTTAAAAAACAAAACGTTCTTTTTGGCCAAGACAGGAAGCGGAGAGAAGCTGGATGAAAACCCCAGTTATCAGCATGCAGTAGCTGTAGTCTTCTTCTTCTTCGCGTTCACCGGCTGTAAACTCCGGCAAAATGTTCTGGTTCGTCCACTTTTGGACTGCAGTACGGTTCCAGAATCTGAGTGTTGCGTGTGCATCCGTTTGACAGATCTGACTAATTTGTACGCAGACTGTTGCTTCTTTGCCTCTTAGGCAGATGCACTCCGACTTCGAAGAAAGCTCCCAATTAGTCGACTCTTACAACATGCTTTTGGGTAGGCAGTGTTTCTATTCTTGTTTTCCCTATAATAGGGCCCCGGAACCCACACGGGGAAGTAGCTGTAGTCTTTGGTTTATGTCAAACTGCTTTTTAACATACTGAATCCCAGCCAAGGGTAAAATAACTACAGCCAACTCTTAGTGCCTATTATTTTTCTACCGTTCATGTTAGTCGTCCTAACTTGGCTCCTATCACTAATACCACGAGCATGTATAATATATGTATGTAAACATAATATTATGTAATCGCTTACTTGATCATTTTGCTTATTCACGAGGCATGTGTAAGTGTTTGAAATAACTGTGAAATCTCCCATGACCTAATTTCTCATGCTAATGAGTTTATGTAAAGATACCATTAACATTTCATTTCTGTAAGCGGTTGGCCTTGGGACCCCAGCATACTGGTTTGCACAGGAGCCCTTAACGCGATAAAGATGAAGTTTTTTTTTTTTTGGGGGGGGGGGGGGGGGGGGGGGGCAAAATCTTGTAAGTGCTGGGAGAGACGGGCGCCAAAATCTTGCTGAGGGCAACAAAAGGTCTTAAATTAACCCCTGCTTCCATGCTTGATATCTTCTGTAAAATCATGAGTCCCGTTAAAATTGGCGGTGGTGGTAGTGGTGGTTTGGGGGGGGGGGGGGGGGGGGGGGGTGTTGAAATGGCGTATGCGCATGCTGACAGACTCCAACAGTTATTTATTCTCATATCTTTCAGTTTGGAGATCGGGTAAAAGCTAGAAATATATATCTAATATCACCCTAAAAAGGTGGATCCTAAATGGTTCACATAAAGCTTCTCTCTCTCTCTCTCTCTCTCTCTCTCTCTCTCTCTATCTATCTCTCTCTCTCTCTCTCCAAATGTCTGTGTGTGTGTGAGAGAGAGAGAGAGAGAGAGAGAGAGAGAGAGTCTCTTTTTTTGTCTCCCACTGTATTTTTCTCGTTGTGTATGTTTTTGTGCATGTGTGTCTCTGCCTATCAGTCCGTCTCTCATTTTTTGTGTCCATATGTCTCTCTCTTTCTCTCTCTCTCTTTTCTCTCTTTCTCTTCTCTCTCTCTATCTATCTCAGTATAGTGATATCTCTCTATATACATATATTTGTTTGTCTTCATACCTATCTCAGTACAGTGATATCTCTCTCTCTCTTTCTTTCTCTCTGTCTCTCTTTTGCCTAATTATGTTATCATTTAAGTAAAACACTCAGGTTTTCACGTTTTGCATTGTGTCCTGCAACACATTAAGGAACACAATGGTAGATTCCTAACGAGGAGATCAGCGCGCGCGCACACACACACACACACACATATGCACACACAGCTGTATTCCTTTCCATGTTTTTAAGGATCTTTGAAATATACTCAACCCTAACCCTTCTGCGCCACCCCATATCCTGAACCAACCAAAACATAACACGAAATAACGGTGTTACAGTATGTTGCATGAACAGTTTTCTGTTACTTTTAAATTAAAGCATATGGCTATGTTAAAATATGTGTTAATTAATACCCTGCGTCAGAACCGACACAAAGATGCATTCACGGCAGCTGTCCAAAAGTTCATTTTCATGCGTTACTGTGCAGTCATTCCTCTCACATTACTGTCACGTTTATGTATGAATGAAGCATAAACCCAGCAATTTTTTGACGTGGCTCGGTATGACCATGCACTGCATTAAGAACCGTAAAAGGCGTTTTTTTTTTAACTTTTAGTATTTTGCCAATGCCTTTTTAAAGTTATGAAAATTCTATTATTGTTAACATTAAACTAAAGCATTTTAATGCCAAATCGACTGTAGCTTTTTTTGAAATCCAGTATTTGAGAATATAGGATTCGCCGTGGCGTTGGCGGCTAGACGCCCGCCT